TCAGTTTGTTTCTCGGAGTCCATAGTCTCTCATGGTTCATCTCCCCTTCCAAATACCCCCCCCTTCATTTTTCCATTCCTTCTTCTAATGTCCTGCATGCTATTCCTTATGTTCCACATCTTGTTATAATTTTTGACTTAAAGTCTATTTTGTCTGACACAAGTATAGCTACTCCTGCTCTCTCTTGGTTTCCATTTGCATGGACTGTCTTTTTCCATCCCTTCATTTTTTAGCCTATGAATGTCCTTAAAGCTTAAGTGAGTCTCTTATAGGCAGCATATCATTGGGTCTTTTTTTTTTCCCCCATTCAGTCACTCTAAGTCTTTTAATTGGAGAATTTAAACCATTTACATTTAAAGTGATTATTGATATGTAAGCACTTACTATCATCATTTTGTTATTTTCTGATTGTTTTGTAGTTCTTTTTTGCTCCATTTTCTTCTCTTGTCATCTTTCTTTGTGAATTGATGATTTTTTATAGTGGTATGCTTCGGTTCTTTTCTCTTTATTATTTGTATATCTATTATGGGTTTTTCTTTGTGATTACCATGAAACTTATATAAAACATGTAATGTTTGTAATTGTCTATTTTAAGCTGACAACTTGACTTCATTTGCATAAAAAGTTCTACATATTTACTTGCCTCTCCCATTTTATGTTTTTGGTGCCCCAATTTATATATTGTGTATCCATTAACAAAATTTTTTTTCAGCAGTTCTCTTTTAACTAACATACTAGAGTTCAATATGATTTACATATTCTTCAGTTCCAGAACTTCTGTTTGGTTATTTTTTATTATTTCTGTCTCTTTGTTGAATTTCTCATTTTTTTCATGAGTTCATTGAATTGCCTACATTCCCTCGAATCTTGCTGAGCTTCCTTAAAGTAACTATTTTGGATTGTTTTTCAGGTAACTCCCAGATTTCTATTTCTTTGGGATTAGTTACTGAAAAGTTTTGTATTCCTTTGGTAGTGTCATGTTTTGATGTTCTTTGTCTACTAATTCTGTTGTCTGTACTATTTCTGGGTCAGTTTCAATTGACTAATTTCCTTTTCATTATGAATTGTATTTTCTTGCTTCTTTGCCTGACTACTAACTTTTTTATTAAATGCCACATATTGTAGATTCTACCTTCTTGGGTGCCAAATATTGTTGCATACCTATAAATATTCTTTGGCTTAGTTCATTGACAGTTATGTTACTTGCAAACAGTTGATCATTTTAGGTCTTGTTTGTAAGCTTTTTTTGGCAGGGTCAGAACAGCAGTTAGTTTAGGGCTAATTTTTCCCCTTGTTGAAGCAAAACCCTTCTGAGTATACTGCCTGATTTCCCATGAGTTAGGAGATTTTCCACTGTTGCTGGTGGGTACAAGCACTATGCCTATCCCTGTGTGAGTCCCACGACTATTCTCTTTAATCCTTCCAGATATTTCTTTTCCTAGCCTCATCTAATTTTATCACATGCATGAGTTTATCATTTTCAACTGAATACTGAAAGACATCCTCTGCAGATCTCCAGATTTCTGTGTGTAGTTCTCTCCTCTCCAATATTCCTCTCTATGAATTCTAGGACCCGGATTCCATGGACTCCCAAGTCCATCTCCTCATTTTGGGGACAGTTCTGGCCTCAGCCATGCATGGTACATCTCCCTGTACCACCTGCCAGAAACTTTCTCCAGGCAGTAAGCTGTAGTTCTCTTGTTTGTTTCCCATCTCTCTGGGATCACTTTTTGTTGTTGTTGCCTAATGTCCACTGTATGCAAAGCATTGTTTTATATATTTTGTCCTGCTTACAGTTATTTTAGGTGAGAGTAAATCTGGGCCAGAAGTGAAAGTTCAGTCTGCCTGGATTCTTTTAAGAGTATGAGATCATATACATGATATTCCCTTTGAAAAGAAAATAATTACATAAATATATGATATATTTTAATAGTTTTTTATGTAATAGGCCAAGTATATATCAATTCTATTATACATATATATATTTTTCAGGGATATATATGTAAATGTGCTAGAAACTGAGTTCCTGAATTAATTATTTATACAACAGAGGTACTACTTCCACTAGAAACAAACATCTAATCTTCCCAATTACTATACTCCTGTCTTAATATCTTGCTTGGAATCACATGAAGCAGGTTAAGTTTGGTATCTTCATTTCCACTTTTCCTGTTTTCAGAGTTTTTCTCTTATTACATAGTAACTTATACTTCTGAGATTTGGAGGCCTCTGGAATGGCTATTCCTGGTAAATATACCAGATTCTGCCTTGATCTCTCCATCCCACCACCAGGGAGACTCACCTATACCCGGACTCATTTTCTTTTTTCATTAACTTTTGCTAAAGACTAGGATAAATGAAGATCAATGGGGTTGTCAATAATCAAGAATAGTATCTATGATTTATTGAGTATCTACCATGTGCCAGATGTCCTATTATTTTCTCTAATTCTTTTAAAACCACTAACCATGAGGAAGGCCTTGGGGAATCAAGAGAGGGCTTTCCAGAAGGTCTGCTTTCTCACTTAACTAATGAAAGTTGAGTAGGAATTAGGTGGGATGAGGCATGGAGTGGGGGATCGGGCAGATGTTCTAGACAGAGAGAATGGCATATGAAAGGACTTGGAGGCAAGAAAGAAAGTGACTAACTTGAGGAATTCCTTTTAGTTTGGCTGAAGAACATAGAAAAAGGAGGGAGGGTGGAGAAGATGGGGGAGGGGTGACAGATAAAACCAGAGAGGCAAAATAGATTGCAAGGTATCTTGCAAAATAGATTACAAGTATCATTGTAATGGACTTTTTTTCTGAGGGCAATGGAAAATTCTCATTGAACTTTTGGTATATTACCTTGAACAGAGAAAAATGGATTGAAAGAAGTAAAATTGAGTTACAGCCGTGGAGATGGAGAAAAGTGTATGTTGTTTTCAAAAATCCAATAATTTTTCATTCATGCACTCCCTCAGCCATTTGTGCATTAAACATAAAAAATGACTGCCTGCTACATACTAGGCATTCTGACTAGTTATTAAACAAATAAGTGTTGAATTATTAAATTAGCTATCATTTATTATGCACTTATTATATGGCAGACACTGTTAAGTGCTTTACATAAACACTGATATTACTTTTAAATAGGTGACAAAACGGAAATAAAGCTCATGCATGTTAATGTCATAGTAGATGGCAGAGCCAGGATTTGATTTCAGATCAGTTTGACATCTTGTCAGATTTGCTCATTTACTTAAATGACTGTTCTTACACACATGTAAATTATATTTATTATATTTTCAAATCCGAAGATAAAACAATAAAATATTCTGAACTAATCAAGGATTTCTTTTTGTTTTAATCAGCAACACATGCTATTTGCCCTGGATTTCCATTAAAAAGTTGCCTTTGTTTTGTAGATAAGCAATAATTTTATATATCTGTAAATGAGAATTTAGGCAAAATTTGGGGCACTCAAGCCTGAAATAAATTCTTTATTCTCAAGACTTACTTAGATGGTATTGAGTTTTTTTTATTTTTCTCCTGTGTATATCCTTTGTTAGTATTAATAAATATTAATAAAGGATGTATTTAAAAGGGTAATTTTATTTTGAAATAGGAGAGAGGAAAATTCATGCTGTAATAATGTCAGAGTTTCCAGAGGAGTATGTTGTGAAATTGTTTGTCTAAACACATTTTATTTGGGGTTCAGTATGAATTTTCAATAGCTGTCTTTTCAGATAAGAAAGCAGTAATTCAAACGCAACTATATAAACAAGGAGATCAGAGAGGATTTATCCTGAAGGGTATAAAATGAACCAAGAGTTTTTAGTCTGGGTCATTATACGATCAGCTCCCCAATGCAAAGTAAGGTAGGTGTCTACACTGAGAAGGCTTTGTGAAATGAGATGTTCTCATTCTAATTCTTTTTTTCATTTTCACCATTTTAGTTGATATTAAAAAATGGCAAATGCTAAGTGATAATTTGCTTCTATAGACTCTAAGAATTCTAATTATTGCTCCAAAATTGTTCAGTGGTGGGTAAAGGTAGGTAAACTACATATATAAGGATAAGAAAAATTTCATTGACTTCAAGTAAGAGGAATAACTGGTCAATTCCCTCATGAAGGCTAATTGATGTTCATGGCTTTCTCTTTCTATTTTGATTTAAACATTTTTATTAATTGAATAATCTGTATATTAAATCCTATAAATTACTAATGGTTATCTTTGATGATCATATAGTTCTGGGAAAACTTACAGTAAATTCACTTTGGATAGTGTCCAATGTACATTCCTTGCCTTATAGTACATATTGGTTTCTAGAAAAATATATTGTTTAGTGAAGTTCCTGGATTGCTCATAGGGTGGGCAATTGATTCTTTTCATAGCATAGTGAGGAAATTGGAGAGAAAAGATTGGCAGAGAAAATTGGAGGAGTAGAGAACAATGTCTTTATTAAGAATGAAGGTAGTAAGAACAAAAAGAGGGTAAGGTGGGGTAAGTGGTAAAGGAAAGAAGATATCTTATAATAAGGTAAAATGTTGAAAGTGTAGACAGATGGTCATGCCACTGAAAAAGGCATCTCTCATTATTTAGGGCCTGAAATCATATCATGCCTTCTGTGCTTAGGTGCTCAATAAATCATTTATCATGATTTTAAAAGAGGCAATTAAGTTGCAGAGATTAGAATCCAGGTGACAATAAAGAAGAAATTATGGCAGATCATATAGGGAGGTATTAACTAATACTGATTTATATAGTGTTATATAGTTACTAGTCTTTCTTCCATATCATTCCAAGAGCTTCACATATATTGTTTTATTCTTTTTATGATTTTAGGAAGGAGCATATGGAAAAATGAAGGCAAAAAGATATTAAGTTGCTCAGTTACACATAATTGTAATAAAATCTAGAAGCAGAATTCTAGATCACTGAGTCTTATGGAATAGGGACCTGACACTAATTTATCACATAGAATTACAATCTATTTGTGCTGAAAAGACCTTCTCAATCATCTTCTGGTTCTAAGCCTTCCTTTTAGATGAGGAAATTGAGGCTCAGAAAGATTCTGTAGGTAAAGTTTTACTATTTGCAATAAAGGGGAAAGAATAATTCTTACTTTTTTTAAATCCACAAAATTATACAGCTACCATTGCTAGTAATTCAGCCCTTTTAGCTTTTCCTTCTGTTAGTTTAGAGTTTTACATTTATAAGAGGAAATCTGAAAAAATATAGTATCCATAATGAATATGATAACAATGGGTAAAAGTTCTAAAACAGTGTTTTCTCCTACAATTAAAAATAGGAAGGGAAAACTGAAAGGGGGGAAACCAGAGGGGGAGATGAACAATGAGAGACTATGGACTCTGGGAAACAATCTGAGGGTTTCAGAGTGGAGGGGAGTGAGGAAGGATGGGGTAGTCTGGTGATGGGTATTAAGGAGGGCACATGTTGTAATGAGCACTGAGTGTTATACGCAAATAAAGAATCATTGAACGCTACATCAAAAATTAATGATGTACTATATGGTGACAAAGAACACAATAAAAAAAATAGGGTTGGGTTTACTTGTCTCTCTCTGTTTTCCAGATAAGAAAATAAGGCCCAGACAGATTAAATATTTTAGTCAATTTCTCATAGAGCCATGGGAGATCTTGAAATAGAACTCTATTCCTTGACTCCAGGACTCACCACTAGATCACCACACATCTATTTTATGTAGAATCACAGAGCTAAAATATGTGATTAATTATTTTTTATGCAAAAACCCAGTAGTTGGCTGGCTAGAGAGGCAAGAACAGTATGATCATGATGGCTGAGTATTTTATGTCATTTTTAGAGGATCCTCTAGGTCTGTGGCTCTAAAATAACAGAACAAATTCTGTACCATAAAGAGAGCTTACATTCACAAAGCACTTGAGAAAACCAGACTCCATGAGGAAGGAATTCTTATATTTTTGCTCTTTAATTGAAATACCAAAACTTTCTGAAGAATACTTGAATATGCAACATTTTATCTAAAGGAGTTAACCAGGAAAACTTTTTAATGGATTACTTAACTTCCTTGTTTATACAGAAGAAATTTTTGATAATTTTGTCTCAGAGTCATAATTTGGACTCTTTCAGAGCACTTAGAACAATATTTTTTTTATTAGTGCTCAATCTTATCTCCTCTGGTTAGACTGTCAGCCCTTGAAGTCAAGGACCATAGTTTATCCATTTTGTATTTCTCATTGCCTGGTTTAAATGCTCAATATATATTTATCTAATTTATCTGCCATTAGTCATAATTTTATCCAGCTCATTATGATAAACAGAGTTGATATTGAACAAACTCTTCATTAGACAGGTTCTATTGAGATACATATTCTTCTTCTGTCTGAGGCACAATGGACCCTCTGTTGTCTTCCATGCAGTCAAAACTTATTCTACTTTCCTGGCTAACCAACAGCGGGTCTGTCCTTGATGGTCTTTCTCTGTGTCAACCTATATTTTTTGCATATCCTCAGGGTGGAAAAAAGGGGGGTTTCTAGATTTCTGGGCTAGCCCTTTAACACCAGTGGTGATTTTAGTTGACCTATTCTAGACATTCTCTGGCTTTATCTTGTCTTCCTTGATAGACATTGGATAGAATTATATGCAAGATGATTTGTGCTGAGATGGTACTGAAGTTTGATTATACTTTTTCTTAGTTTCTTTGGCCTTTCTGATTATGACCGGTCTGTTGGCCTTTTAAGTCAATGAACTATAGTTTTTAGAAAACTACAGTTCTGAGAAAGCCCCTACTGAGGCCTCGCTTTTAGCTGACATCTTATAATTAGAGGCAGGTATTCATACTGTTTCCACTGAGTGAATTGTTTTACACTTAGTTGACATTATGTGTCTCTGCCACTGTTCTGTTGTGATGTTTCAGGCTTTCCTTTACACTGCCCAGTGTTGCTAAGGGACACTTGCAAGCAGGACCATGACTATGTGAGTTCCTACATTATGAGGTATGTGACTCATAGTCACATCTAAATGCATAAAGAAAGATTATTGAGAGTATTAACTATGTAAAAGCACCTAATATCGGGCCTAGAATGAAGTAGGCATTCAATAAATACAAATATTCACACACACACACACACACACACACACACACACATACACGCACACACATTTTAGCTCTTTCTAAATGTCACTTCTGAATGTCCTAAAGGATACATGTAATAGATTCTTTAATTTTATCTTTGATTTAGCATGACTGCTATCTACCTGATGTCCATGCTTTTTGGCCTTGCATGTGGGCAAGTAATGTCTTTTTGTTTTCCAACTGAGTATACGATGCATGTCGAAAGGAAAGAGTGTGCTTATTGCCTAACCATCAACACCACCATCTGTGCTGGATATTGTATGACACGGGTATGTAGTTCATCTCACTTCTTTTGGCTGTAAATTAGATAAACCTAGACTCAGTCCATTTCTATCCAGAAAGGAAATGAGATAAATAACAACCTCATTTCCTAAATCTAATGTTATTGGCTCCTTAGAGGTAGAGTCTCCAGGTTATAATATTATATCGATCTATTTAGCACAATTGGTACAGAAAATTTCATGATAGTTTTACTCCCAGAATTTATTTAAACCTTATATTGTTCCCATGATCAAGGATAAAAGAGAGGTGTGTGTGTGTGTGTGTGTGTGTGTGTGTGTGTGATTTTTGTCTCTATAGGATTCAGTGTGGATATGTTGACTTGGTACTGGGGAATGGGACTAAGGAATCCTCCCCAATCTTATTTGTGTCAAAGGAATATAAGTGAATTAACATTATGCTCCCTTTTCTGTTCTTTCCTCAGGATATAAATGGCAAACTGTTTCTTCCCAAATATGCTCTGTCCCAGGATGTTTGTACATATAGAGACTTCATGTACAAGACTGTAGAAATACCAGGATGCCCACGCCATGTTACTCCCTATTTCTCCTACCCTGTAGCTATAAGCTGTAAGTGTGGCAAGTGTGATACTGACTATAGTGACTGTATACATGAGGCCATCAAGACAAACTATTGTACCAAACCTCAGAAGTCCTATGTGGTGGGATTTTCTATCTAACTTAATAGTGATGTAACTTGCAATTCAGTTAAATGTGTTCACCTGGAATAAAATTAATAAAATATCAATATATTTCACAACACATTGTGTACATTTTGAATACTATTTCATCCAAACCTATACCCACTGGCTTTAGAAGAAAAGGTGAACGAAAGAGCCTTTTGAGCTCATATGAGGGATAGTTTCCACATGAAAGGGCAGAGTGCAGGCAAAATGGCAAACAGGGATATGAAGTACTAATGAAAGCCAGGCTTGAGCAGGCTTTCTTAACAGAAGGCCATGACATGAGGTTTGTCTTGACATAGAAAATGAATATGGGGATGCTGCCGAATTATAAGGCTAATGTGATCAGAAGCTGAAGGAACATAGGGCATCAGGGTACTGGAGACACTTGTTTCCAAAAGCTAGAAGCAGGACTGGAGAGGACATAAAGAGTAAAAAATATATAAAATCTGCAACATAACACTGTATTCTAGTTATTCAAATACACAGGATAGAACTTAACCAAAACTCAATAGACAGTATATTCTATTCTAAAAACTGTTCTCTTTAATTTAATTACTCTGATGGGCCAACTGACTTATGAAAGTTATACCCCAAAAGCCTAGAAAAGAGGCCATGATCATTTTACATGTGGAAGTCTAAATCCTTCGTATTCTTTCAAGTAATAGGAGACACTTTTCAGTATTTATACCAAAAGCAACTTGTGCTGTTTTAGCTTTTGGTGTCCTGAAAAATTAGTATGATTGTGAAAGATTTTAGGGACAGGGGGAGAGTGCTAAGGGATTAAATAGCATAGAATCATCCTAAATTCTAATCTAAACCTTCACCAATATTGAAACACTGTTTTCTGGCAAATGAACTCTGTAAGTGGCTGTTTATTTATTTATTTTTCCTTCCTTAGGTACTGTTTCATGAATTTGGTCTCAATAGATGCGTGAAGTGAGACAGACCTAGTGCCTTGCAGACTTGACCTCAAAAAGATGATTTATCCTATATTTGCCCATTTCTCTCTGTCTAAACTGCTACCATCAGGGTAAAAATCAATTATCATCAGGGATGGTTGTCTTTGCTGTATCCCACAGTCACTGGATGAATTCAGCTGGGCATCTTGTGAATGCCTAATTGCTGACAGTGCCGTGTGTGTGTGTGTGTGTGTGTGTGTGTGCAGGTGGTGAGGTAGTGTAGATGGATTAGTACCAAGGTCATGCTCTGCCAACGGGGAGGGAATAGTTGTACATTTATATACAAAGTCAGGGATCCACATTATGCTTACCTTAATATTTGAGGTTGACATCAGCATAGTCTTCAAATATTAATCTGGGGGTTTGGGTTCTCATATCACTTGATAACATGAACGCTTAAAGCTGCAGGATTATAACATCCCCTCTAAAAACTGTATATGAAACACAGATCTTTGATTAATGAGTAAAATGTCTAATGTTCAAACCTAACTGGCACTAATCACATACAACTTTCATGGGACCTGAAATTGACAAGACATCTTGGGTCATGAGAGCTCCCCGTCCTAGCTGGTGGATGCCATTCTGAACAAGATTTCCTTTTATTAATTTTCACATTTTGATCAAGATCTTTCTTTGAAAGCATCACTGATCAAGAGTCAAGTTCTTTCTATTTAATGGGTTTGTCCCTTGGTACCAGGAAGGACTTTTCCTGGTTGTCATGTCCTATGTCAGAGGGAAAGGACAGAGTAGTTAGAAACCACTTCAGGCTACATCTGAGCAAGAAGGAAGGTTAGCAGGGAGAAACTCTCAGGTATTGCTCCTCTAAAGTCGATCTTTTCAGGGCACCTGGGTGGCTCAGTTGGTTAGGTGTCCCGACTCTTGATTTTGGCTCAGCTCATGATTTCAGGGTTGTGGGATTGAGCCCTGCATCAGGCTCTGTACTCAGTGGGTAGTCTGCTTGTGATTCTCTCTCCCTCCCCCCCATGCTCTCTCTCTCAAATCGATAAACAAATATTAATTTTAAAAAAGCCTATTTTTTCAAGGTTTTAAGTGTTGGAATTCACCTTGAAGCATTGAGCCAGCATCACCTTATTGGGTACATGTTTTTGTTTTGTTTTGTTTTAATTTGAGAGAGAGAGTGAGAGAGCACAAGATGGGGAGGGTCATAGGGAGAAGCAGACTCCGTGCTGAGCAGGGAGCCTGTTGCTGGACTCGATCCCAGGTCTCCAGGATCATGACCTGAGCCGAAGGCATTCGCTTAACCAACTGAGTCACCCAGGAGTCCCAGGTATGTGGTTTTTAAAAGAAGTTTGATGGTAAAGAAAATACAAAACTTAACATAATAAAAGAAATAACAATTCCAAATTGTATGATGGTTTTAAACCAGGACTCTAGGTCTGAAAATAGCCAACTGAAATATTTATTGGCATTTATCCCAATTATGGGGAGAAAGGTTCTCTCTGTGAAGGCAAACCTGGAGTCATGCATGCCTTCTGGAAGTCTCTGCTTAAAGTGACCATGAAAGCAGATTAGTGAATACTGCAGGAGTGTACTGAAAGAATTAACCCAGTGCATTTGGGAAGACAGAGTGCAGGTATAAACATGAAGAAATAGTTGATGAACTTTTTGAAAAATAGCAAAACTTCAAAGATGTTTTAAAATACTATTTATCTCAAAAGAACTGTTTGGAACCAAATGTGTTATTGATAATACAACCTGTAAGGTTGCAAATTCAGAAACCATAAATCTGGATAAAAATCCAAAGTCAGTTAATAGTTTAGATAAAAGAAGACTTTTGTGAATTCTGAAAATTCTAACCCTTCAGAAAAAGCAAGTGAAAATTAATGTGTCCCAGGATCATAATGAAGTTGTTTCTGAAAAGCCATAATCAAAAGACTAGGTTCTCCTCTTTTGCAAGGGCTTGGGAAATGCGGACAAGGATATGGTCTTTCCATGGAAGATGCAGAGAGAAGAAGCAACAGGGAGAAAAAGGTATATAGTCCTGTACAGACATCTTGGAAAAGCTGTCTCATCAGATGTGTCTGCTTCGATTCCAGGAAATCTTTACTTTCAGGTCACCAGACGGTGTGCAGTCAGGCTTTGGTGCTTTCTTTAGATGCATCATGTGAATCCAAGAGTCTGTTCCCTAGAGTTTGGCAGCACAAATGTGGTTAGCAATTCCTGATAATTATGGGCCTGTCCTGCGAGGTCAAAGAGTCTTTCTGGAGGTGTCTTTTCCAACAGATGAAATCCCCAGGTTGCAAGGTATGATGCTTAAGGTCATTGTCTCCTGGGGGTGCACTTCCTCATTCAGGGACCTGGAGTGATTGACAACAGGACTGGAGTAGGCCAGCAGGTGGAGTGGCAGGTTGCAGGGTGCAGCACAGCCACAGGACATGGAGTACCTGCTGGACATGGGCAGGTTCATATTTTCTTCTTCAGCATCTGGGTCTCGGGGCAGGGGCTATTCCTCCTGGAAGGGTGTGATGTTGATGATCGAGTAGGGGTTGACTCTCATTGGGACCACAAATGTAGTGCATTCTACTGGAGTGTCCATATCTGTTCCCATCCCAATTTTTACCTCCTAGCCAGGAGGTAGACAGACTCCTGCCTGTCATCCCTCCAAGTGCCTCTCGTCCTGTACCACCCCCACCCACATTTTCAATTCAAATGATGGAGGTGGGCATGCTATTTAGGCTCAACCAACCCTGATTGATTGAGGGATGGGCATGTGAACTAATCTCTTCCAGTAGGAGTCAGTCTCAGGAATTTTATTATAACTATTGGACAAAGAGGAATGTTTGGCCTATTGGGGTTTGTAAGCTGTGAGCCTACAGCCACTGCTGGCCATCTTTGGCATCTCCTGGAAACAGCCAGCCTGAGAATAAAGCCAACCCAGAGGACAGCAAGAGAGAATGAAGGAGAGAGACCTAATGATATCATTTGAGTCTAATCAGAAGCTGACTTCAACTCTAAATGAAATTGTAACTTTTTTTTATTATGTTATGTTAACCACCATACATTACATCATTAGTTTTTGATGCAGTGTTCCATGATTCATTGTTTGTGCATAACACCCAGTGCTCCACGC